AAAAAAAATATTAAAAAAATTAACACCCCCCCTCACATTAATGACCTTAGTATTGTATCTTAGCACTGTAATAGCTACATACAGTTCACAAGGATATATTGGAATGGAAAACTGTAGGTATTTTTGAAAAAGCTGAATAAAAATAAAAGAGAAAAAACTTTGCAACCTAGAACAGTGTATATCCATTGCTATATAAAAACTCCACAGATGCATAATACTTAAGAACAAAAAGCAGAGCAAACTTCAAAGTTACATTAGGCTGGTCAGGGTCTTGCCAAATCAGCTAAGGAGCTTCCATAGCCTCTCTGTGCATCTGCTTTGCTGCTAAACCACTCTTGCTTCTTGTTCTGGAATTGACTGGTACTGTAGCATACAGTGGCATCAATTTTTCTTCTGCACTACATTATTAAACTGAAAAGATTTTCAAAAGCAAGATGACGACATAAAAGCTGTACAGCACTTTGATAGTTTAAGTCAATCAGCTTTCACTCCTGAAAAGAAATAACAGAAAATCCAAAGTAATTCAGAAATCCAAAGCTCTTAATCTAAGTAACTGTGCATTCTCTGAACTTTCATATATGTATATATATACACACACGCACACATATATATATGCACACACATATAAAATCTTAAGTATCCTGAATGGTTTCCACTGAAAGTACATCTAAATATACCTTACCTTAAAATTCTCTGTCAGACATTGTTAAATTAATCCCTAACTACTGAAATTCTGTGGGAGACAACAAGGGTCCCTGCGCCATGAAACAAAAACAAAAATAAAGGGCAAATTCCTTTAATGAGATAATAGTACAGACTATCCATTGCAAACGCAGCAGTCACATAAAGGAGATTTTTTTCAATAAAGCCATTACAGAGAAACTAGGTGCCTGGGAGCCCTAGCTAGTTCAAAGCTTTGCCAGTTGGCCCAGGATAAATTAATTATGGGTAGGATAAGCTTGCCTTTGACTAAGAAGAGAGCCTTAGATTTGGATTAGCTGTACAGTACATATCATGATATGTTTATGATAACTTGTAAAGATTTAAGTGCACAAAGTACACATTTTGCTAACGGGTATCTTAGTAAGATCCTAGGAATGTTAAGTTATGATATAACCATGGACATCGTAATGCTACAGTAGTTAGCAAATCTAGAGGTAATGAAAACACAACTGCACTTAAATTTAATCAACAGAATGTCACACATGCAGTGTAGGTGAGTAACTGAACACAGCTTAAAGATGATGACATAAATGAATTACAGGATGAAAGACATGCTTAGAGAATGTGTCTCTGGGAATTTTTTTATTTTTTTTTTATCCTGCTAGGTGAAACTTTTGACATCTGTTGACCACGTACTTTTGCCAGAGCTCAGAGTACAGAAGATAAACTGTCTATAAGCATTGTTTTGTGAAAGCAAAGCTTATTTTGATTTTAGCAATAAAGAAAGTTCACTCATTTCATATTTCTGTTCTGATGTGACCTACAATTCCCTCTGAAAACTTTGACTCTTCAGTGTGATAAAACTAACAAAAGATGGGTATCCACTTGGCTCTACATTATCTGACAGTCATTCAAGACTTGAGGGAAACCCTTTCCCAAGATGCCACTAAGAACTTAAAGCCAGTAACTGCAACAGTAAAAACAAACAAACAAACCACCCCACTTTTCTAAGATCTCTTATTGAACATTTCAGATGAGAGGGGAAGTCTAGGTTAGCATTAGACTAGACAAACACCAGAGGACTCTGGCTATCTAGGCATAAAACTCCATTAAAAGCAAAAAAGGCCCTATTATATTTCTAGGTTTTGTTCAGCGATACCTATTTCACCTTGGGAAGGTGACGGTTTTGATGCAAAATAATCCAAATGCAAAAATAATCCAATTTCATTTTCTAAAATGATGGTTTTAAATTTCCATCAAATCAGAAAAAAAAAATCAAAACCTAAGACAATCCAAAACTACAATGTTGGGACGGTAGGAGGAAAAAATCAGTCCAGTAGAATTTATCTTCTGTCTGTCAGCTGAATTTCATATCTACATAAGGCATTTTTCCAGCTGAAGTTGCTACCCTCCAGTCTCCCTACTCTGTGAAAGAGTAGCAGCTGGTAATGTAGCTTTGTGTTCTCATCCAAAAGACTCTGCAGAGTAGAAAAAAAAATGGTACATTCATGAAGCTCATCAGCATAAAATCAACTGCTTACTGTGCAAAACATAGTCACATCAGAACTGTCAAAAAAGGGTACTAATTATTGTAACTTGAAGGGGAAAAAAAAGAAACTTCAAGGAATAGTGTCATTTTACACCTGCCAGCTACACTCAAATGACAAAGTCTGGAAAATTTCAAAATACAGCATGCAGCTGCCCTTTTCTTTAACACATAGGGATAGCTCACAGAGATATAGGTCGCAAAACGCTCTGTTGCTATGCTACTCTGGCAAAAATAGAAAGTTAAATGTAAGAACAGTCTGCTTACATAGGGTTGCAGCAAGCACCAATCAAACCAGCAGTAGGGCAAATCCCACTTCCCGCTTCTGTTGAAATTCTTATTTTCTACTGTGTTTATACTTGTATAAGATTTTTTTTTTCCAAATATCATCCATGAAGATAAATTTCCATTGCAAATTAAAATAACAGGCAGGATTATTTTGTTGAACATCAATCAGTGCCGCTGTATGCATGAAGACACCATATTATCTATGAACTACTGTTCCTATTTCTCTGTCTGTTGCATTACTACTTTCAAGATCCATAAAGGTTACAGTTAAATGTAGTGGAAGTTTAATAAATCCAAATCAAAACTTCAGACAACAGAGGTAGTTTGTCAAATTATTGCTGTAGACTTTAAATGCATTTCTTACATTTAAGGCCTGTCCAATGAGAGTTTACTGTAAATTTTCTCACTGAAACTGTAAACACTTTAGTAAACTGACCATGGATCACACCATTAAAGCAAAGGGACAGCACAACCTTAGAAGCTAACAAGAATTCAAAGGAGCAAATAGCCTGCTCCTGAAGTAACTGACATGTAAATACCAAAGTAAGTCTCATGCAGTAAAAAGAATCCCCTGGGAATTACAATTTTTACTCCATTAATACCAAACAAATTCATCTTGATTAACTTAATCATACTGAATACCAAAGGAATTCATCATGATTAGTCACTAATTGTGAAGCACTGCCCTGGATTTAATCAGGTTAATACCGTTCTTAGAGAATGTTAATAAAGCCTCTGCTTACCCTCTGTGTCTACTCCTTTCCTGCCAGCCCTTCCAGCCATCTGCTTGTAAGTGAGAATGTCCAGCAGTTTGCCACCAAACATGGGAGTTCGTATAATTACTCGACGTGCAGGCAAATTCACTCCAGATGAGAGCGTGGAGGTTGCTGCTAGGACTCTAATCAAGCCCTGGCGAAAGGCTCCTTCAATGATGTCCCGTTCATCAAAGGTAAGACCTGAGGAGAGATGACTTCTACTGAACCTAGTAGCGGTTAGATTGCATTTAAGAGCTAAGAATCTTACTGTCAAGCAAGGGAAAGAACAACCAAACTTAATGAATATTTGCCATTCAGTGTTACGAACTGGACTCGCAACACTACCTCAGTTAACTTCTTCCAAATCCTAAGTGAAGCAAAATTTCACCGTTCAATTTTTATTATTCAATTGACAGTAACAGTTATGAACTAGCTTTTCTAAGGTGCTTGTACACATTGTAGCAAGATGAACAAGTATTTACTACATATCTACAAGCACTGCAAGTAAATCAATAAAATAAAAAGAAGAAAACTGGATGTAACAAACACAGTACAGAACTAGGACTTAGTCCTTTGCTGTCCTGACCCTGGAATCCTCTTTCATTATTTCCATTCTCGGTTACAGATCTAATATGCATCTTTCTACAGTTCCTTGAGGGCTTCAGACCAATTTTATTCTTGGGAAAGAAATTTACACTCTATAAGCACTTGAAATTATTGTCCCTACATATTCACTGCCATAGCTATTGTTCTCCCAGAATCAGTTCTTTCTCTCAGTGGATCAATAGGTGACATATACTATTACCTACTTAAGTAAGAAATAAAAGATCTAGCCAGAAGCGTTCGCGGCACATGTTCCTTTTATTGTCATTGTTGTACTTCTACTTACTCATCTATTTCAGTATTAAGTTGAAGAAAATTGCTCTGAAATACTACAAATGGCTTCAAAAAACAACTGGTAAATTGCTGGTAACTACAGCAAAAAGAACTCATGTGACTTGACCATTACAGAATTCAAGACCAAGGTAGCCAGGAATACCTGCATGATGAAATGCCACTCCCCATGGCAAAGTACGTTGGAGCACAGAGTCCAGGCCTGAGATAGAACGCTTTAGCTGATCCAGAACCTCATCGATCCCTTCTCTGTCCACAACAACTGGGGAAAGGGATGAGTTTTTTGCAGAACCTTAAGAAAGAAAATATTTTTATAGTTGCTACTAAAATTAATTTGCATTAAAGGCACTGCATATACTACAGTCTTCTATTAACTATTGTTCTCTTACTCTCAGCCTGTTGCAAACTGTAGAATTCCCTGGCAATGATGTCTGCCAGCTTCTCACACCAGTTCTTGGATGGACAGAAAAGCAGGACTGAATGACCTTCACAAACAGTCTCATAACACAGGCTCACAACATGGTCTTCATCTCCCTGAACAGAGACAAAATATTTTCAATGCACCTTAACACTGACTAGGGTTTGTAAACGTTGTCACTCTTCTGTGTCACACTAGGAATCTTCTACTTCAAATCAGAAAGAAGAGCAAACAAAGAAGATGGAATACTGTCATCTTAGTTTCTGTCTTGCTTTAGGAAGTCCAGGCACTAGTATGACCACATTGTTGAGGACAGCCCTAGACCCACCCATGAATAAATCTAAGGTTTTATGTCCTACTTTCATAAATCTGAGTGAAGGCCACACAGTGCACCAAAAAAAAAAAAAAAAAAAAAAAAAAAAAAAAAATCACTGTAACCTCCATGTCATGGCTAACAGTAGTGGAGAAGAACTAGGAAGACCCCCCTGAGTGAAAACATCCCTCCACAGTAACTAAGGAAGAAGACTTACCAACTACGATGTCTGAACTGAAAGCATGAGATGTAGTAGTCTGAGCATTCCCAATAAGATGCACCCAGCAAGCACTGCTGACCAAAGACTGGAAGTGTTCAGAGCACAGCAGCAGGCTTTTATGGATACTTATATGGATGTACATGCAAAACCCCACTGTTTACAGCTTGCCTTTTTGGTTGTAACATCCTAAGAGAGTTCCTGCAACTGATTTGTTTTGCTTGGTTAAGCCAGATTCTCTTCCAGCAAGCAGGCCAGAGGAGGAAGAAAAAAAAAAAGGTAGGCATACAGTAGGAAATAAAAAGCACTGAAATGCAAATGAAAACAGGGGAACAATGGCAGGAACTGCATATACACATCAAAAGCTCGGTCAGGATTCAGCCAAATTCAGCAGAAATGGTGATGTCAAGTTTCTTTTCCTGGTCCAGTTTGAGGCACAGAACAGAAGTCTAAAGGTCCAGTGATAGATTTCAAGCCCAAGAGGATCACTTGGTCCTATAAAATAAGCCAACTCCCTTAAACTGTTGAGTCATAAGCCTAGTTTAGTTTTTTCTTACTTAATCTAGTACCTATCCACCAAAGCAACTATTTAAAAAAAAAAGTCCAGAAAAGGAGATGCAACATCACCTTCTCAATATGACCACATAAAAGGAAGCTTCCAGATATTCTTGTCACAAGCATCTCCTTTTGTTTCTATGATTCTTCTTCTTTGCTGTGCCACCATGCTACTGAAAACAGAATGTTTGCTCTCAAGAGCTGGGTGCAAAACATTCCAAAATATTGCTGGCATTCAGCCCATACTGTCCAACTACCACATTAATATTACACAGAGCAGTTGAACGGACTGGGAAAAGAATTCACCCTTCAAAGACTTCACAGAAAAGGAACCTACAAGTAGGAACTGCAAATTTCCCATTTGTTTCTTCCAAATCATTATAGTATGTTACCCTGTTCATATCCTTTTCAAGTGTGCAAAAGGACTAAATACTGAAAACAGATTCAGAAGAATCAGGATGGACATCTGCCTTCTAATCACTGACAAAATTAGATCATTTAGTAGTTTAAAATAAGCAGGTTCAATACCAGATTTTAATGCAAATATATTCTCCCAATGATTAATGCAAATTCCTTGGCCTAACCAGGAAATATTTACCTTCACTTATGAAAGTGAAGTAGATTCCAGGACACAAGATAGGGTGGTGGGTAAGGGGAGAATCAAACTCTTTATACCTCTCAAGTGCTCAGAGACAATATAGCTGCAAAATCAACTTTGTCTTTGAGTCAGATTTAAGAAACTTCAAGAACTTCATGAAAATGACTGTGTTTTGTTTAAATCAGTAGGAGACAAAAAAAAGTCCTTAGTTTGAGCACGCGATCTATAAAATAAACAATGAAGTCAGGAATGTCATCTGTTTAAAAAAAAAACCAAACCTATAAACATACCAGTAGCTGTCTTTTTAACTGTAGCTGTACAAAAGGTATTATCCCAAAGCCACTGCTCAGAGTTTTGTTACCTTCAGTTGAAGCTTGGGCTGGAATTCTCGCACTAAATTCATGGAGGAGTCATAAATGTTGCTGCCGATTTTCACCCACTCCTGGAGGGGCACAGGGCGAAAATCTGTACAGTACAACTCTGCATCTAACCAGGAGGCTAGGAGTCCCAAGTTAGGGAGGGTAGCACTCATGCCTACTATCTGTATCCCACCAAAACAGGGACTGGTCATCTTCGCCTGTCTAGAAACGGTTAAAAGAAAATCAAAGTTAGTAACAACACAGGCTACTGTTCTGGAAAACAGCATTCAGAAAAACTAAATCTACTTCCTTCCGGAATCTAAAGTGCACAGCTATTTTTCTCAACTTCTTGAAAAAGAAACAAGCCATACTCTACTCTTAGCAAACACAATGTCAGGTAATACATTGATAACAAGATAATTCAACTTCTTATCAGTTTTAACCTAAACTTCAAGCTTCTTTTGGTAACAGCTGCCATAAACTGACTGCATATTTTGAGAAACTGCAAACAAATAAATAAATCAACTATTTCCTTGCTATTAACAAAAACATGGAAATAAAGGAATGGTTCAGTCTCCATTGCAGTCTTTCTAAGCTTAAATGCCTTAATTAAAACACTTCCATTTGTTTCAATTTCAGGACAAATAATACTAGACTAAGGTCTTCCTAGAGCTGGGAACCAAAGCCCTTAGTTCAGCAAAGAAAAAAGCCGCTTCAGTTCTCAAAACACTGACCAGCAGCTGCAACTAAATGCAGTGAGAAGTAATGGACTCTTAACAGATCTGAAAACAAAAACCAATACCCAAATGTATATTTTAATTCAGGTTTTTACATCCACACAATGGGGGAGTAGGGGGGAAGGTTTATGGTTCTAAGCCTATGTTTAGAAACTACTCATTTGGATTGCATTGAGCCACAAATTGAGACTTTAAAAAAAATAAACAAGTCTGACAAATCAATGTGAGCTCAGAAACAGCTTGAACCTTCTTAGAAGATGCTGGTAATTCTGGCAAAGACAGAGGAAACAAGACTATCCAGAAGCTAGAGTAAAAAAGGCCAGTCACTGACAAGACAGACATAAGGAAGATGTGGAGAGGCAGACTCTCATATCCAAGCTCTTCAAGCATTTGCTAGTACAGCTCCATCTAGGTTGCAGATTTTTACCCCCTACAGCAACTTTTGATCTTCAAGGATTAAAAAGGTTCCAGCTCCACCACACACTCTTTGACTGGGGAGGAGAAAAATCTGCTGCAGAATTTTGGCTAGATCTGCAAAAGCCTCGCAGAGAAGCAAGGGCACCCACGCTGGCAATGGCCATCAGAGAACATTCTCTTGTTGCGAAGACATAGCCTTATACTTCAGTGGTTCGTCCGGCTAACCACTTAAAAAGCTCTCAAAAGTGCTGGTCATTCTGACAATTGGTCAGGTCGGACAGTTTTTAAAGCATTTGGATAATGGTGGTCCTATTAAATAACAGGAAAAAAAGCACCACAGATTTGGGAGGATATTTGAGAGAAAGTGTGGTCTTCAACTCCAGGAATCTCAAGTGGATTCCAAAACAAAAACAGCAGCCACCTCCTTCATGTCAGTAAGTGGTACAGGCAACCACTGCCAATTTGACCATGACAAAGAGATAGAGGATCTGGGCCCTACTGCCTATACAGTGAAGGCTGAAGTATTGTGTCTTCCCAGGAACATTTCTTGATGCATCTGTCCCTTTTTCCCTGACAAATATTTTCTCCTTCCTGCTTCTTCAATGCAAGGGAGGAAAGCAGAAAGTGGACCTGCACCTGTGCTGCAGCTACATGATAAGCCAAGGTAAAAGGAGCGGTAAAGCTACTCAAGCTGCTCGAAGTGTACTGGCTTCCAGGACTTATGGGGAGAATATGAGAAAAAGTCAAAGGTGGTTAGACCCAGGACACTGCTGTATCCTGGAAATTAGGATGGGAAATACTGGCTAACATGTCTGGTGGAAAGCCAATGTAGAAATGGCAGTTCTCCCAGAACTAAATAGGTAATCTGTGCTTAGCCCAGCATTGGTACAACTCACAAGACATGAAACAGTAAAGAAAACAGGCAAAATCTGGCTTTTGGTGCTGAGGGAACAGTTGATTTTGACTCACCTTTCAGCACCACCAGTAAAGATTAAGAAGATTGATACACCTTTTCCTCCATTTGCCTTTGTCTGCGTTAGGGTGTTATGGAGCAGCTGGACAGTTTGGTGCTGGGGATCTAGATAATGGATTCTTAAAAGCCTCTAAAGCTCTTTGGTAACATTTAATCTGTCCCCCAGTGTCCAATCAGTCGTGCTAAAGGCAAGAAACCATGCAACCACTAGGCTACTGCATGTTACAAGCAAAACCACAAATCACCCTGAGCACTGTTAACTAAGACTACTGGCACATCCTCTTAAGTCTTCTGATCAATTCACCATTGACAAGTTAACAGCATGCACACTCTTCCACAATACACAAACGTTTCAGTAGGATAAAAACCCCACTCCATGAAACACTGAAAAATTAAGCAGGGCAAGTTCACTAGCAAAAACATTAAAAGAAATCCAAAGTTTAAAAAAAAAAAAATAGGCTAAAAAAGTAAATGAAAGCTTCAGCCTTATTTCTTTTCCTGAGAGAATGAGTCCCATGGTAGCACACAAATTGAAAACCATGAGGAAAAGAGGTTTTGACTACCATGGCAGGCCCTTGAGAGGTGGTACAAGGAGACCTTAATAACTGAAATAGTCTAGGTCATCACTCTCATAAAAACTCCAGAGCTAACCCAAATTTCCAGTCACCCAGAGAACAAAATATTTAAAGTCATCCATAATTTTTCATTAAAAGACAAACATCCTGGACTACCCACCGTTTTGCAACCTTCTCTGTAACATATCTGACTTTGGTCAGAAGGAGTTCCAGCAAATATCCTCGATGAAAGTCTCCCAGCATGTGCAACTCATCCACAACCACCACTCCTGATAAAGAGAAGCACTCAGATTATATCTGATGAAACTCCAAACTAAGAACAGATAGCCTCAATTGTTTCACATTCCACATGATGATCTGAAATTTATATTCACAAATCCAACTGTGCTTACCAACACCACTATGGCTTCCTTCTGTCACTGATTCTTCCAAGAGAGACAGATCATGACCTATCTCATGACATTTCACACCCCCCACAAGCTCACACACACAGACAATCAGCTTTTAAAAAAATCAGAATAAATAGGTTGAGTTGTCAGTCTGGCCACCACACAAAACAGTACTGCAGCACCTATATTGTAACCTTTCTGCAAGTAAAAACCACCAGGCTTCAGAGTATCTAGAAAGGAACATTCCAGCATCCAAATGAGCTAGTTAAAAGCTTTGTTGACATCACTGTTTTAGGTAAAGACATTACTCCTTACTAATACAGTAATGTCAGGTCACTGTCTTAGTTAAAGACATTACTCCTTACTAATACAGTAATGTCAGGAAAAAAACTAGAACAGATGTAATTACACTGGCATAGCCTGCTTCCTAATATATCTTTCCTCACTAACCAAACCTGAATGAGCTCTACTATTTAGCTTTGGTTTTCTAATGAAAAAATCCTTACATGAGTGTTCTGTTGTCATCCTACCTCCTGCAAATGACTTTTTAATCTATTAGCCACCTCCATCAAATTTCTAAGATGTGTAGAAATACTGAAAAGAATAATGTCTAAAAAGCTTTCTGAATATCGTAGAATCATAGAACGGTTTGGGTTGAAGGGACCTTAAAGCCCACCTAGTTCCAACCCCCCTGCCATGGGCAGGGACACCCTCCACGAGACCACCTTGCCCAACCCCCCATCAAACCTGGTCTTAAACACTTCCAGGGATGAGGCATCCACAACTTCTTGGGGCAACCTGTTCCAGTGCCTCACCACTCTAACAGTGAAGAGTTTCTTCCTAATATCTGCTGTAAATCTACCTTCCTTCAGCTTAAGGCCATTACCTCTTGTCCTATCACTACTTGCCCTTGTAAACAGTGCTTCTCCAGCTTTCTTGTAGGCCCCCTTTAGGTAGTGGAAGGCTGTGCCGACCCACGTGCAGGACCTTGCACTTGGCCTTGTGGAACTTCATGAGGTTTGCACGGGCCCACTTCTCAAGCCTGTCAAGGTCCCTCTGGATGACATCCCTTCCCTCCAGCATGTCGACTGCACCACACAGCTTGGTGTCAGCAAACTTGTTGAGAGTGTATTCCAGCTCACTGTCCATGTTGCCAAAGACATTAAACAGCACAAGTCCCAATACCAACCCCTGAGGAACACCACTCGTCACTGGTCTCCACTTGGACATCGAGTCGTTGACAGCAACTCTTTGAGTGCGACCATCCAGCCAATTCCTTATCCACCGAGCGGTCCATCCGTTGAATCCATGTCTCTTCAATTTAGAGACAAGGATGTCATGTGGGACAGTGTCAAATGCTTTGCAGAACTCCAGGCAGATGACATCTGTCACTCTTCCCTTGTCCACCAACGCTGTAAACCCACCACAGAAGGCCACCAAATTTGTCAGGCACAATTTGCCCTTAGTGAAGCCAAGTTAGCTGTCACCAATCACCTCCTTATTTTCCACATGCCTTAGCACAGTCTCCAGGAGGGTCTGCTCCCATGATCTTGCTGGGCACAGAGGTGAGACTGACTGCCCTGTAGTTCCCTGGGTCTTCCTTTTCCTTTTTAAAAATGGAGGTTATGTTTCCCCTTTTCCAGTCGGTGGCAACTTCACTGGACTGCCACAATTTCTCAAATATGATGGATAGTGGCTTAGCAACTTCATCCACCAGTTCCCTCAGGACCTGTGGATGCATCTCATCAGGTCCCATGGACTCGTGCACCTTCAGGTTCGTTATATGTTCTCAAACCTGATCTTCTCCTACAGTGGGTGGTTCTTCATTCTCCCAGTCCCTGCCTTTGCCTTCTGTGACTTGGCCAGTGTGGCTACAGCACTTGCAACTGAGGCAAAAAAGTTGTTCAGTACCTCAGCCTTCTCCATATCCTGGGTAATCAGGTCTCTCCCTTCCTTCCAGAGAGGGCTCATATTTTCTCTAGTCTTCCTTTTATTGCTGAAGTACCTACAGAAGCTTTTCTTGTTGTCCTTAACAGCCCTGGCCAGATTTAATTCTATCGGGGCTTTGGCTTTCCTAGACTGATCCCTGGCTGCTTGGACAGTTTCTCTGTATGCCTCCCAGGCTACCTGCCCTTGCTTCCACTCTCTGTAGGCTTCCTTTTTGTGTTTGAGGTTGTCCGGCTTCCTTTTTGTGTTTGAGTTTGTCCAGGAGCTCCTTGTTCATCCATGCTGGATGAATGCCTCCTGGCATTTTTGCCTGACTTCCTCTTTGTTGGGATGCATCACTCCTGAGCTTGGAAGAGGTGATCCTTGAATACTAACCAGCTGTCTTGTGCCCCTCTTCCCTTGAGGGCTTTGTGCTATGTGTCTTGGTTTAGCCCCAGCTGCCAGCCAAGCACCACATGGCCACTTGTTCACCTCTCCTTGCTCCCGGTGGGATGGGGAAGAGAATCAGAAGAAAAAGGTAAAACTTGTGGGCTGGGATAAAGACAGTTTACTAGGACAGCAAAGGAAGAGGAAAACAACACCACCACCACTTAGAATATACAAAGCAGGTGATACACAATGCAATTTGCTCACCCAGCCAGCCCCCCTTATATGCCGAAGGTCATATGGTATGGAATACCCCCTTGGCTAGTTTGAGTCAGCTGTCCTGGCTGTGTCCCCTCCCAACTTCTTGTAAAAATTAACTCTACCCTAGCCAAAAAAACAAGGACACCACAGTACTCTGTCAAGCAGATCCCTGAAGAGACCAGAGTCTGCTCTCCTGAAGGCCAGGGTACTGAGCTTGTTGTGCGCCCTCCTTACTGCCCTAAGGATCTTGAACTCCACCATTTCATGATCACTGCAGCCAAGGCTGCCCTTGAACTTCACATTTCCCACCAGCCCCTCCTTGTTGGTGAGAACAAGGTCCAGAACGGCACCTCTCCTCATTGGCTCCTCTATCACTTGGAAAAGGAAGTTATCGTTGACACATTCCAGGAACCTCCTGCTCCTGGATTGTTTGTGCCACGTTGTGTTGTCCCTCCAACAGATACCAAGGTGGTTGAAGTACCTCGTGAGGACCAGGGCTTGTGAACATGAGGGTGCTCCTGTCTGTCTGTAGAGGGCCTCATCTGCTCAGTCTTCCTGGTCAGGTGGCCTGTAGCAGACTCCCACTATAGTGTCACCTGTCCCTGCACTCTCTTTAATCTTGACCCATAAGCTCTTAGTCAGCTCCTCATCCATCCCCAGGTGGAGCTCCGTGCACTCCAGTTGGTCATTGACATAGAGGACAACACCCCTCCTCATCTCCCCTGCCTGTCCATCCTGAAGAGCCTGTATCCTTCCATTCCAACACTCCTGTCATAGGAGCCATCTTACCGCATCTCCGTGATGCCAATGACATCATAGCCCTGCAGGCTTGTGCACATCTCCAACTCCACTTGTTTATTCCCCATGCTACGTGCGTTTGCATAGAGGCATTTCAGTTGGGCCTCCAATGAAGCTGATTTACTGGTTGGAATTCCTTTGTGCTGCACTTCAGGTGCTCTCCTACTGACCTGTGATTCTTCTCCAGGCTCTGGGCATCTATTGCTGGCACTGGCGTCAAACTGGTAGGAGTGGGATGGATTGAGGTTCCCTTCCCTCAGCAACTTTAGTTTAAAGGCCTCTTCACCAGCTTGGCAAGCCTACGACCAAAGATGCTCTTCCCCTTCTCTGACAGATGGAACCCAGCAGCCCCCAGTAGACCAAGTTTCAGCAGCTGGAGATCAGATTAGGGTCTCCCCTGAGGAGAAAATGTAGAGCCACTACAACTCAGCCACCCAGTGCACCTCCTGCACGCATCCCAACAACAACCAGCAGTACATACTCTCTGGCCAGGTGACAGCATCACAGAGACACGGAAGAGGCTGAAGGAAGGTTAAAAAAAAAAAAAAAAAAAGCAGAGCATAGAGGACACCAGGCTTCATTAGCTCTGCTGCTGTGGATTTTTTTTTCCTCTTTGGAACTGCTACGTAGTATCTTCCTGGTAGAGCTATAATAGCAGGAGTTTAAAAGTAACGTGACCTTATATTATCTATTTCAATGCTATTTTTCCTTCTCATTTTTTTCTCTTCTTCCTACACATGCTCCTTCTCTCTCCGTCTGTTTTCTCCCCCCTTCTCTTTCAAGCCACTTAAGTTAGAAGAGTGCTGCACTGCTTCATCAGCCTCTTTTACAAACTCCCACCCATCCAGCTTCTCTGCCTTCTTGTACTTCCTCCATTCTGTGCTCGTGTGTAAAAAACAGTAATTCGCTGGTCACCAAAGACATTTATTCAGCTACCAGAAAAAGCTTCCTTGTACAACAGTCTGTCTGAATTCTTCCAGCAGCTGAGACAGGACAGTATAATCAGGTATCTACCAAAGTAAAAGTCATACAAGTTACCTTTCCAGTCTTTGTGCCAAGCAGCAGCACATTTTGCTTCCTGAAATGAAGCATAGAACACTAGTGGTACCTACAGGCTAAAGCACAGGGAATGCCACTATTTGTTGTATGGGCCACTTGTTCTACACCTTCTGCTGCTACTCAGCTATAATAAATATTCATCAAACCCACACTAAACCTGTGTACTGTATTACCCTGGCAGTCTGCAAGCTGGTGAGACTCGACTGTCACACATGCACAGTGCTCTCTATTCAGGCAGTACTCAGAACATACCCACCGAGATAACACAGCAGGAGCCATCAGGCACCAGTACAGTTCACAAAGCTGTCCTCATCTTAAAATGGAATTGCAGCCAGGGAGGACTACAGGTCCCAGCACGCAATGGCATTTTCTACTCAACAACAAGCTCAGGAGTGCAAGTGGGGCCAGAATTTCACCCTACTGCATTGCTACTGAAAATGAGGCTAGCCTCAGTCTCCTCTTTCTGTCTGCAAATTAGGTGTGTCCCTAGAAGACTGCTGAAAAAAACTTACTAAAAAGTACCTGACAGCTATCATACACGTTTACTGTAGAAGAACTAGGCTGCTTTAAGTCCACATCCTGTTTAAACATGTTTACTGTAGAATAACTAGGCTGCTTTAAGTCCACATCCTGTTTAAAACTAAAAAGTTCTGAATGACAGGCAGGAAGATTTGATTATTTTTTTAAATACAATTAAACTAGTAATTTTTTAATTTCAGGTTTAAATTAAGAAAAGAAACAACTTAAGTGTCACATTACACAGCACATTACAAATCCATTCCCAGCTGACACGTTAAGAAGGTGGCAGATTCTTCTCTAATCTGCTTTCCTAAAAACTTCTTTAACATCAGTGTCAAGAGACTGAGCAACAGGAGGAATACCATCTCCTGCGTACCTGGATGTTCAAAACTGACACACATTACATAATAATTAGCAACACAAAATTGCTTTTAACTGCTTCATACAGCAAAGAGAGCTCTGCAGGCAGAGGATTTGAGTTTTTCCTCAACAATTTCCAAAGGCAACGTGAGCTATCAGCAGGGGGTTGACATCAACAAAAGGAACAGCTCAGGCTTGAGATGGAATCCAGCCAGAATTGCAGTCATCTCCCAATAACTCATCTCTAAAGATAAAGCACCCTCATTACAAACTGATCTAAATTTAGAATTAATTGGAAGACGAGGTACAATCTTGCTGTTTCAGACAAGCTTGCTTTAAACTAGCATTTTCAGCTCATGCCCGTATTTTGCAGCTTTTATGAAAATTTATCTCCAAATAGAAAATTTGTCAATTTCTTCCTTTAAAGATGACTTTTAAACTCAAATTTAATTTAAAAATTAATTTCAAATAAGCATATAAAAAAAAAAATTTACCTCTATTTCAGTTATACGGTCATATTGAGGCACAAGGCAAACGGAGGGTTGCAGCAGAGATGTTTTCAAATGGTGAAAGAAAAACATCATGCTTTAAGAAGGCATCAGTGTTAAGGATGCACATTCACACTTAAATCTTGTAATCACTTGGCTGGTTATACTTATATGACTCTTCTCAGGTCCATTCATCTTAGATGACACAACAAAATGTATGGATAGAATAGAGGTACCAACCAACGGGATTTGGCATATCTCTAGCTTCTGAAAGATGGTATTATTAAACAATACATTTTAATATACTAAGTATGCTTCTGAGGCACCCAATCCAACATAAATAAGGACATTATGACCTCACTCTCTGCCTTATGCTGGTAGTACAGCTTGTACAGTGTGGTGACCTAGGATCAAACTAATCCAATTTAAAACAAACAAAAAACCGTAAAGTAAGTAGCCATATATTGAAATAACTGGATGATCGCCAGTTCTCTTGCAAGGGAAGGGATGAAGATACACATTCCTGAATTGGGCTGGACTGCAGGAGCCTCAATTCAAATGAGCTTAAAATGCTGCACAGCCATGGTCATCCACTCATCTTCCAGTCCACTGGCTGGTGGTGATCCAGCTCCTATGATCCACGTGTGAACGTGTTATCCCATGATCTCACACACTGAAAAAAACCTGCAAGGTTCTATCTGCCTTATTTTCTCCTGTGTTTAAAAAACTCTTCTGGTATACAATGCTGCAGAATATGATGACACCAGATGCACATGGGAACAGCAGTTCCACAGATGGAGGTCTCAGAGCAGTTTGATACTCATCTAGTGTTCGTTTTTATATTCTTAAAATAACAATGAGCTATGTTACAGGCCATAGTGAAGATGGGAGGGAGTACTATATAAAACATAACTGGGTATAGCTTTACTGAGCAGGGAAACAAAGAGAAGAACAAACTTCCAACTGGACTAAGAAAACACATCTCTCCAAGTGCGCATTGGAAACATAGGGCTTCTTCAGGTTTTAGATCTCCTCCCAACACTAAATGAATACTACCATTATCTAGTGGCCATCAGGGCCACGGCAAGCCAGAAGTCTACATTACGAGGACAGAGGGCTTTTGAGCAAACTACAAGAGAGAAATGAATGTCACAGTCCTCCTAGTCACCGTGCCTACCCAGAGGAGCTCTATGTATTCATTCCACTTATCTGGACCTAAGTAAGCACCAAACACAATTCTGCCTCTTCCTTGAGCTAAGCGAAGATAAACCATGACTGCCACAATCGCTGTCCAAAACAAACAAACAAACATACATTCTTGACTCAAACATATCCCAGACCTTTAATTCAATTTCATTAATTAGAAGACATTTTCAAGCTATGGGAATCACTGCTTATTACAGCTAATCACTGTCCATGGATTGTCATCCATGTTAGACAAAGTAAAATCTGCAGTTTCTACCTACTCACCCCAGCCGCTAAGTTACATAGAATAGTCCTGACTGCCTTCCTAAAGCCAAATCAGAGGCATTCTGGAGGAAGAAAAATTGCTCAGTTTTCCTATATGGCATGTCTGTCACATACAGAACTGAGCAAATACAAAGTAGTCCATGATTTCACATGTACTCAGAGTATGTAATAAACTTCATCCGCGCAACGGTCAAGCCTTAGTATTTTACCCAGCGAATCCATTTTGTTTTCTTCTATTAGTCTATTGATTAGACCATTGGCTTTCTCAATGGTGCAGACAGCAACATCCAGGGCAGAGAAACGTCCAGCAGGAGACATGCTTCCCATGTAGCCTTCCACTCTCACATCTACCTCCTGAAACAGGGCCTGTTTGTCAAGGATACAGAACGTCATGCCAAGGTTACAGCTCTGAATTCTGACCAACGCCTGCTGAAATCACATAAAAGCCTGCATTCGACAACCACAATTTCTAGTACTTATAACACCAACTAATCTGATTAAAGCCATAGCTCAGCCAGTTACTGCTACTTTTTTTTTTTTATTGTCATTTTTTATTTCCAAAGCAGAAGCCACACAGTACACATTGCAGGATAAAGTGTACGTAACTGAGTAAGAGATGGGGACCACTGGTTTGTATAAAAACATTTACTATTAAGAAGATCAGAGAACACACAGTGCAACAGTTTATAATACCAGTGGGTTATGTATCAGGAAGCCTTGCTCCTGAGAAATCTGAGGCAAAAGCCAAATGTGGGACCCGAAATACAAAGATGCCACATCTCCCGGCTGAAAATGAAGAAACAATGACTTCTTTTCTTCCACAGCTTATTACTGCAGTGCCAAAGCTCTGGCCCATTACGCACTACATTAACAAAAGGTACAATTGTTTGAACCAGATGGGAAGGATACCATATAATTTCAAGTATGTGCAGCTACGGCCACATCTTAGGTCAGGAGTAGTAGACCACAGCATCGGTAATCCTCCAGCTTTACAAGATTAAAGCAAAAGCATATCTCCATTATCAATCACTACAAGGTAGCTTTTGCACTCAGTTGTAACATTTCCTAGCAATTTGCAAGGTTAAGATACCATCTCAGTTCATTATATTTTCTGACATTTAAGACATTTTGTGTGTTGGTAAAAATGCCCACTGGTTTTGTGTTTTTAGTAATTGTTGTTACTTCAACATATCAGCTAATGGAAACAATATTTGATCTGAAAGTCTTTCAGGAAAAAAAATGTTTTTGTTTTAAAAAGAATGTTTCCACTGTAATTTTGTTTTTAAATAGCTGGGGCGGGGAAGCCATGACATAACCACACTCTGTCAGAACATATCTTTAGTAAAGTCAAAGTGAAATCAGAGACACAAAATTCTCGTGGAAGTCCTCAAGAAAAGCTAAAATATCCTTTTATCCTTTCAGATAATGTTGACACCTTCCCTTTGCAGTTTTTCAGACACACTCTCTAATTAGAAAATTCCTTTAAAGTGTGTATATTATAAAATCTGTGAATAAACACAAGTAACAATGCTTTAAAAGTCAAAGCTGAAATAAAATGTTTTAATCAACTCCTTAACATTTTTCCAAATTTCCCTTTTTGGCTAAAACTTTCATTCTTTTATCTCCAACTTAGAATGAGAGCAAATATTAAATTATCTACAAATCCTTTTTGAAACAACTGTGCAAATATTTTCTTTCTTCCTCAAATCCATGCAAAGACTTCTAACTGTTTGAAAAATGTGATCCAACAACTATAACACACAAATTTACCCTCCTTGAATGCTACTTACCTGCAGATAACATTTTTTCTCCTTGGCCACAGAGACAAAGGGAAGGATGAGAAGAGCTTTCTTACGAGTCTCCAGGACTCGCTTCAAAATAAGCAATTCTGCAACAAGAGTCTTCCCAGCACTGGTAGGAGCTGGGTGGGGGGAGGGGAGAAAAGTTGAGGGTTTTTAATTAATTTTTAAAGTTAAAAAAAGAAATACAAGGAACAAGTATCACAAAGCTAGCATAGAAAGCAGTTCCTGGAGAACTTGGGGCAAGACTCTTCAACTGATTCCCCTCTCCTGCAGCTACAACCACATTTGCAGTTAACCCCATAAAGGGTCAAGAAGACTGAAAAGTTTTTCTCTTCTAGCCTCTTCCATCATGCTACCAAGGCTTGTGTTCTCACCTCTGCTCCAGAAGTAACAGCAGCTCAGAGATGAGCAAGGGGAAAAAATCCCAACCAACCAAAAAACCCACTACAGTCTCTTGGTTGGACAGGAGATCTGAGCCACCACCTTACTGACCTAGCCCGTAACTATATTAACCCCTCCTGGTTGGCTAGCATCGCTGTTTGCCATCTATCAGCCACAAAAAACTGTGGAGGAGGTGCCACCTATCAGTGGACAGCCAGTACCCAGCAATCAGGCCCAAAGTCTTCTGGAATCAAGTAAATAAAACTCAAATCCAAGACTAAGAAAATCACCCACCCCTCTTCTAAGTTCTTCATCTTCCCAGTGCTGCTCTGGGATCTTCTTCCCATGGAGAACAGACACCCAGGATATCATTCCCCACAGATTTCTAGTCCACCAGTCCTACTTCTCCTTCTGTACACCCTCCCATACACTAGGTAAAGAGAAACAATAAAGGGATTTAAAAAAATTAGACAGTAAATAACATTCTCAAAAGTATTTCTGTCTAACATTGCTGTTATCATTCAGTTCCTGGTTGACATAGTCTGTAATAAAACAGAGAGAGTCTTCATTAACAGACTCCTAATTATCCGTTTCTAAAGGAACATTAACAGAGAAAATGGCGAAAAAAGTCTCTCCTCACATCTGGAAAGGAGTCCATCAAGCCAGGTCTGAGGTACAACAATGGAACAGATCCTTAACAGGGTCTCTTCAGAAAGAAAGAGGATCTTGACCTTTTTATCTGCCAGATCAGATCCCTTCAGCACCAATATGATCTTATAAGTGGCACTAGGAAAGTTAGGGAGGAACTGGTTTTGTTAGGTGTTTGCATACCTGAGTAAACTAGGTTCTTCCCTTCCAGAACTTGTCCAAGCATTAGGCATTCTGCTTGCCATTCAAACATCTGTACTACTCCCAGACTGTGGTATTTCTCCAGAACTGCTTTGGGAAGACCCCAGCTTGCAAGGAGCAACTTGTCTGCTGGGTCTTCAGGAACATTTACCTGCTGATGTTGCCCTTTGGGAGGAAAAAATAAAAGAATAAAAAAAAGTCAAGTATCATCCTTGAATCTGAGGTCACTTAGACTATATACCTAAAGGTCAAAACTTCTCTACAAGCTCCTGTATTATAAGAAAAGGTAACAAGAAACTATCTTCCCTATATTTTTCAATATTCCCTACAGATGTTTCACCGTTGTTCTTCTTTCCTGACATCATTTTTTCAATTTCTCCTCCTATAAGATTTTCCACATTCAAATAATTTCTTCACTAAACTCCTGCTCTGATATTTGCTTTTAAGATAGAGCAGCCATTACCAAATACATACTCAAACAGAGAGTTTCAGCACTGATTAATATAACAGCATTACAATGTATTTGCTATCATCCTTACACATACTGCTTCCTTTTTAAATTACTGCTACAGAGACTTCAGTAATCCTCACAGATTACAGAACTGGCCAGTCTTTTTTCTTGCTTTACAGACAAATTGAAAAAACAACATAAGCCAAACAAGCAGCTCAAGCTACTCTGTACAATGCATGTTACTCCAGTTTATCAACACTGATTAGTATCTTCACCACATTGCCAGTTTCTCTAGCTTAATTAAGTTCCTTGCTGCTTATTTCTTGTCTTTAAAACCCTAAATAATTTTGTGCTGACAACAGATATTGCCTCCCGCCTGCTCTCCTCCTCCTTTTTTCCAAATCATTAAGCAAATTCAAACTTTTTTTCCCTTTCTTCATCCAAGACAGAAAACACAGTAATGCCTATCACCCATGACTATGTAGTTCCCGTAACAGCATTTTCTGAAAGACAAGTGAGATGAAAAACAAGTCATTGTGTGTACTGACTCTACTGTACCCATTCTTCTACTTGCACATTCAAAAAACTCTAAAAGAAATTTCTCACCATTGTTGACAGCATAAGGGCAGGCTAGATCAGAAATACTAGCATGTGTAAGCAGCCAGTATTTTTACTCTTAATATACTAAAAATTTTAACTGTCTTCTTAAGGTTAATCCCAACCTAGCTGCCACTGGTGCACGATCATTCTGCCCCGCACAAATATATAAAAAAGCTGATATAACTTGTCTCTGAAAGCTTTGTTTCACTTTGTAAAATCAAAGTACCATACACATACTAAACAAGAAGTTGAGCACCATCAGGAGAGAACAGCAGTATGCTACGAAGCAGAACAGGCTTCCCAAGGGGAATCTAGAGGAGACTAGATTTGTCTATCCTAAAATGTGGCTAATATGGCAGAATCAGGATTCAGAAACATACAAAGGGGAAAAAAACCCCAAACAACCAAACCCTACATGATGGGATCTCAAGCTTCTTTCCTAATGTTAAACCCAATGATCTACATGTAAAAGAATGAATGAATGAAGGATTACATGATTCTGCTGTTTGAAGAATATCTGTAGATGAGCACTGAACATGAGTTTGAAAACTTGGGCCTCAAGGGTTCTTAAAGATCTATGTTCAGAAGTATACCACTACACTAACTTCTTTTTTACCAACTGGAAAACTGCTAAGAAATAGTCAAAATGAGGAAGATACACATCATTGGTTAAAAGCACTGAGCACTAGATTTCTCTGAAAGAAAACCCTTCCAGAATGTGGAGCCAGTTGGACACAGGAGTGCTGCTTACTGAATCGTCTTTAAGGAGTTGTTCTATGGAAATATGTACGTTGCCTTGCTCAGCTCCATTTGCAGGAGCTGACAAAATCATTATCTTGCAGAACATAGTCACATCAGGGAGAAGATGCAGCATGGCTGGAGAAGAGGCCAAGAGATGCACATCTTTTAGAGTTACTAAAATTTGCAGGTAAGATAAAGTTACAAGATGTTATATAAGTATCTTGATTTCAAATGTTATATACGTCTTGATGCTGTACGCATCTTCACTTCTCTCTTGATTCAAGAGTATAGTAAGCTAGTAAAATGTATTGCATCTAGAAGCATCACCTTAAGTGGTCCTGGCTGGTGGCAGGACCACTTTATATGACACCTTGCTGCAAGATATTTATGTAACACAAGATGTTTATGTAACATCTTGCATATATACATACATAAAAAAACCCTACTACATTTCTGTGCATTTGCAGGTATCAGGATACCAATCAGGACCACTTAAAGGAATGCCCTTAGACACCTTTTATCAGCTTACTGTATTTTTTAATCAATTTAATAACATAGGTAAACCTCGCCTCATATACCATATACAGATTATACCGATTGTTGTATTATGGTAGCACCTAGAGGCCAAGTCAAGAATAAGGCCCACTGTTAAATGACATACAATGAAACAAGCCCGACTTCAGGTGTGTGCACAGAACATAATTTTTCTCAGCTTCCTCAACTAAACAGTAATGGGGCAGGAATATCCTTCGATTCCCATTTGTATGCTCCCACCCTTGTTAACCACTCAGCTACAGCCACTGCTCCCAAGGGAGAGAGGAACGGGCCAAGAGCCGGTGCGTCCGCCCCAGAGCAGCGAGCAGTCCCCGGGGCAAAGGCCCCGCACCCTGGGCCGGGAGAGGCTCAGAGGGTCCCTCACCCCTTCCAGCGCCGCCGCGGGAGGCGCCTCAGCAGCGCCATGTTGCCTCACGGGGCA